CCCGTGAGGTCAGCAGGGAAAGGGTATTTATTTCCATTTTACAGATGAGGAAATACAGACTGAGAGAGATGGACTGGTGTGCAGGGACTAGACCAGTCCTGGGGGCCTAGGATCAAATCTTCTGACCCTTATTGTGCTGAGCCATAAAGATCCAAATAAGATTCTTTCTGCAAATGTGTATTGAGCAACAGTGCCCACTGGGCATAGGGGCCCACATGGCCTTGTAGTTGAGATTGGCTTTGGAGCTCCGTGGCCTTTTTGAGTTTGGTTCAAATGTTTCGGTGAACGTGAGCAAATTATTTCAGTTCTCTCATCTCTAAAATGGGAATGATAGCTCTACTCACCCAGGGACAGTCATCAGGGTGAAATGAGACAATGTCTCCAAAGCACACAGTATGTAGCTCTTTGACCAAGGCTGGGACTCTGAAACATTAGCTCTTTTTTTTGTTTTTTTTTAATATTTTATTTATTTATTTGACAGAGAGAGGGAACACAAGCAGGGGGAGTGGGAGAGGGAGAAGCAGTCTTCCCGCTGAGCAGGGAGCCCGACGTGGGGCTCGATCCCAGGATCCTGGGATCATGACCTGAGCCAAAGGCAGACGCTCAACGACTGAGCCACCCAGGCGCCCCTGAAACATTAGCTCTTATGGTATTGGTTTACAAAATAGCTGAGAGAGATCCCTGTCCTCCAGGAGCTCCAAGTCCCTTAGATCCCCTGCTTATTAACTTTGGGTGTCATTGGTGTGCAGAGGTGTGCCAGCCTCAGAGGTGTCATTGGACTGCTGAACCTCGATTTCTTCATCTGTATAATGGATCTAATAAGCCCTGTCTCTCATTGTAATTTTGAGAAGTACATAGCACAGAGTAGACGCTCTAAGTGTTTGTCATTCTTTTGGTTGAAAGGCATGAAGAGCGAAGGATGAAGGCTAGGTGCCTGCTGACTGGATGGGGGCCAGAAAATGAGAGTTAGGGTCTGGGGAGAAGAGACAAGTTAGAATGCCTCATAGAAGAGAGGTTTGAGCACCAGTGCCTGGGCTGAGGAGGGTGATTCAGAAGTGGGCGTGGATCTCAGTGGGGCCTGGTTTGGGAAGGGAGCTCAGCCTCTGGGTTGGGAGAGAGTTGGATTAGTGTGCAGGGTGGGGTGGCAGGTAGGATGGCTGAGGGGGACTGGGCCTGCTGTAATTGCTCTAAGCCCTTCTGCATCCTGCTCTTCTTCTCGCAGGTTCATCTACGAACTTGAGCACTTCAATGGTGTGGCTGAGCTGCTGGAGATCTTAGGAAGGTGACTCTCTGGGCCTTGGCTGGAGCATCAGGATTCTGGGAGCAAAGACTGAGGCCCGGTCATCTGAGCCCTCCTCCTCTCTTCTGCCCCCTCCTCAGCATCATCAATGGCTTTGCACTGCCCCTGAAGACCGAGCACAAGCAGTTCCTGGTCCGGGTCCTGATTCCCCTACACTCTGTCAAGTCACTGTCTGTTTTTCATGCCCAGGTAAGGCCCAGGCCTGGCCCTGCCGCAGCAGAGAGATGCCGACAGAGTCAGGGCAGCCGTGGGGTCAGCCCGACACTCTGCTACAGCCACACTAAGTCATGAACTCATGGGATCCTCCCTCACCTTCTTTTTCTTTGCTAATTCTGTTCCATCCACCTTAGAGAATTTCCGCGATACTTTAAGGCTGATCTCAGACATCAGCTTTGTGAAGCCTTCCCAGCCTTTTCCCTCCCTACCTGCCCTAGGCAGGATTAAACTCTTCTCTTTCCATATTCCCATACATTGTGATGTAGATTTCAATTATGGAAACTTTTGTGAAATTTATAAGGGCTAGTTTGCTGCATGTTCCCCCTGGGGGAATGTGGTTGTGTCCCTGCACACAGAGCATGGTGCCTGGCACATCCTAGGTAGTCAGTCAGTAAATGTTTGGTGAATGAGAGAGGAGACACAGTGAGGGAGCAAACATCTGGTGTCCTGTCATGGTCCCCTCCTGACCCCAGTCTTCTTTCTCTCGCCCAATCCCCACCCCCCTCAGCTGGCATACTGTGTGGTGCAGTTCCTGGAGAAGGACGCCACCTTGACAGAGCACGTGAGTACCTTGGTGGGGGAAAGGCAGGCCTCACCCCTGCAGGTCTGACTCCTTTCTGCCTCAACTCCCACAGGTGATCCGGGGGCTGCTGAAATACTGGCCAAAGACCTGTACACAGAAGGAGGTATGAGGAAGGGCTCTGGTGTCCCCCAGAGGGGGGTCAGGAGGGCTCTGGTTCCGGAGGGCAGCCAAATGTGTTGGGGGGGGAGGGAGATGGGAACTGCTGTCTCCCGTGTCCCTACCCCCAGGTGATGTTTCTGGGGGAGATGGAAGAGATTCTTGATGTCATTGAGCCCTCCCAGTTTGTGAAGATCCAGGAGCCGCTCTTCAAGCAGGTGGCCCGCTGTGTGTCCAGCCCCCATTTCCAGGTATGGGGTGGGAACAGGTAGGGGTGGGAGCCAGGGTATGGACTAGGAGGGCTGACCAGTTGACCTAACACAGCTCCCTCCACCCTCAGTTTCACCTCTGGACCCACCAGGGTCCGATAATGGGGAGATGCTGGACTTAAGGTCAGGAGACCTAGGGTCAGGCCTCAGATATGCTCCCCACGGACTAAAGGGCCCTGCGCAATCACTTTGCCACTCGAATCTGATGCACCTTCCGCATCTGTGAAGTGGACCACAGTGATCTCTTCACAAGGTGGTGATGAGGACTAAAGAGAATGTAGTGCCAATCTGTTGGGTAAACTGGAGTATGCTCAGAATGGGTTCTTATCCCCGCTCCCCTCTTCTTTGTGGCTTTTGATTCCATTAGTCCCACTCCAGTGCCCAGCCAGGCGTTTCCACTTCCTCAGGCTGGCTGTAGTTGCTATTTTCCTGCACATGTGCGCAGACTTTCACCCATTCATATGTGCCTTAACCTGGTGGAAGTCAAGTCTTCCTCACGGGGACTCTGGCATTTAAGTTTATTAAATACCTCATTTGATTCTTACAGCAGCCCTGGGGAGATAGCTGTTATTAGCTCCATTTTACAGTTGAGAAGACTGAGGCTGAGAGGTTAAATGCCTCACCCTAGGACATCTGTCTAGTGTGTAGTGGAACTAGGATTCAACCCTGAGCGTTGGACTCCAAATCAGTGCTCTTTTTCTCTTCACTACATTGCCTCCTCTGTGGGTCAGATGAGCCCTGAGGATTGGGTACACATGTGGAGGACAGGGCTCCCTGGGTTTTGGGGGTGGGGGTGGATACCAGGCCTTGCACCTGCAAGGGAAGCCACCACCAGGCACTCACTCTGCCACCTTGCTGCCCCAGGTTGCAGAGCGGGCTCTGTATTTCTGGAACAATGAGTATATCCTGAGCCTCATCGAGGACAACTGCCACACTGTGCTGCCTGCTGTGTTTGGGACCCTCTACCAAGTCTCTAAGGAACACTGGAATCAGTGAGTGCCTAGGCCTTGACCTAACCCACAGAGGCTGGGTCCAGGGCCGGCCAGTCCAGACTTGAGAGGGTCAGGGATGGGAAAAGGGGCAGGTTGAGAGCAGTGCTTGTGGTGTTCAGAGCTACATGTGTGTTTGGGGAACAGGGGTAGGCAGAGTGCTAGGGAGGGAGATGGCACCAAACAAAGCTGTTCCCATTTCCTCACCCCTCCCCGGACCCTGTCAAGAACCATTGTATCTCTGATCTACAACGTGCTCAAGACGTTCATGGAGATGAATGGAAAGCTGTTTGATGAGCTCACAGCCTCCTACAAGCTAGAAAAGCAGCAGTGAGTGTTGGCCTGGGCATAGGGGGAGAGGGGAAAAAGCAGGATGGAGCTGGCTCCTTGGGGTTGGAAGGAGCCTAGGAGGACAGCCCCACATCCTATGTGATCAGATGTTTAGTCTCTCCTTGTGTTCCTGCTGGACCATCCATGCCCAGCTCCCCACTGCATCCTCCAGTCATGTTCCCAAGTCTTCTTCCAGGTATGGAGCTTCCTCCCCTTCAGCTCCATGACCACAGGCCAGGGCTGGTTTCCCAGTGCTCTTTTCCTTAAGTGGAAGGTCCCATAAAGTCCCTTTACAGTTGGGTGGTGGTGAGCGAAGCTGAACGGTAGGTGGGCCCGGATAGGGGAGCTGCCTCACCCTCTCTCCCCAGGGAGCAGCAGAAAGCCCAGGAGCGTCAGGAGCTATGGCAAGGCCTGGAGGAGCTGCGGCTACGTCGGTTACAGGGGACCCAAGGGGCCAAAGAGGCACCCCTCCAACGGCTTACACCCCAGGTGGCCACTAGTGGGGGTCAGAGCTAGAGATCCCCTAGAAGGGGAGGAGCTAAATCCAGAGCTATCAGTCCCTCCATCCCCTCTCCTACCCAGGGGCCCAGAGAGACACACCTACACCTGGCCTTGCCAGAGCAGGCTTGGAGGGCTCCCTGCCTGGCCCAGCATGGGCAGCTTTCACTGTGGGGAGAGGAGGAGAGGAGATGGTGGTCCTGGCAACAGAACTCTCAGGCCTTTGTGGCAGGACTTGACCAGGGCAGGCTTGACCAGGAAGCTGCCACTGGGGACTGCACCTGCCCCGCAAAGCTGGGCTCCAGACTGCAGGCCGGTTCCCCCCCTGCTCCCGCCTAGAGCAAGGGGACTCCGCCCCTCGCCTGCCCCGCCTCGTGCCAGCACGGGGTCCTTCCTCACCCTACCATGGGATCCATGGTCTATTTATTCTCCCCAGCTCACCCCAACACATGCCCCTGGGGCATCTTCTTTCCCTCCCCTCCCTCACCCTGTACTTCCTTGTCCCCTTTTTATTTATTGGGCAGGGGGAGGGGTGAGGGCACAGGCAGAAGAGATTCCCCGTGTCCTAGGGTGGGGGGGTGTCACAGTTACCATGGTCTGTCCCCCTTCCCCTGGCTGGGGGTAGACTTTAAATAAAGAGAGAAACTTGAGAACTGCTTGCTTTATTTAGGGGTAGGGACAAAGAGGGAGTGAAATGATGACAGACTGGTTGGGAGGCCAGGCTGAGGCAGGGGAGAGGCAGAAACTGGCCTCTTCTCAGGAGTGACAATCACAGAATCTTAAGAGAGCCGGATACATGGGCTATACTCTGCCTCAAACCCTCTGACCAAGGTGGAGGAGGAGGGGAGAGGACGGGCTAGTAGCGCGACAGGCGACACATGTCACACTGGCAGGCCCTGGCCGTGAAGATCTCCAGCTCCTCCCTCCGGTCCCCCCCACACTGCAGCGGCACCTTCACCTGCAGGAGAGGGGGACCCGTGTTCCATTCACCTTCCTTGGGCCATCTTAGATCTCCATCTCCCCTGTCTCTCCCCACCCCCAAAGAGCCACTGCTGGGCTGGGCGGTCTCACCTTCTTCAGGCCACTGATGGTACAGCACTGAGAGACGGAGGTCACATTATGTCGATAGCCACTGGCCACCAGCACGGAGTACCGGGAAGGGAAGGCGCTAGACTCACAGTGGCCCACACAGGCCTGTGCCACATGGGAGCCCTGGCAGGTGCCTTGGCGGTCACTTCGCACTGTCACATTGAAGGCTAGAAGGAGACAGGCGAGTGGGAGACAGCGCCTCTGCAAAGCCTCACCTAGCTCCTGTCGCCAGAACCTCAGTGTGGGTCCATTGAGGGTGCTGCCTGCCCTTCGGTCCCGTCCATTAGCGCTCGGCTCCCACCCAGCTGTCTGCTCCCAGGGTTACTCACGGTGCAAGTGGCAGCCTGGGATGGCCGCCTGGCGACCCCAGCCTTCCGTGACCGCCAGGACCAGCAGGCAGAGGAGCAGCATTTGGGGGGATGCCATGGGGATCTGAAACACAGTGGGTAGCTCGCTGTCTCTAGATAAGTGTGCAGGTGGGAGGGGCAGTTCTTTACTGTGTGCCTCCTGGTGAGGAGCCAGGGTGAGGCTGCTCTTTCTGACTGGGGTGAGGCAAGCCTGTGAGCCGTGCTGTCTTTTCCCCGGAGCTGCCTTTGGGTGCATGGTGTGTCTGCTTGTGTGTCTCATGATGGGTGTGAGTGTGAGTAGCTGTCAGCCCACGGCAGTGATTCTCCCCTGGAATCTCCTGCCACCTGGAGCACAAACATCTGCCCCCCTCCATCTGCCCCATCTACAGGCCCCAGGCCCTCCCCAGGCTCCTCCTGCCTCAAGCGCTTACCACTTCCAAGGCCCAGGAACTGAGTGGCTTGCGGAATGGGTTCCTCAGGTCTCCCGCTCGTCTCCAGACAGTGCCGGCTCTCCGGATTTTTATTTGCCAACGTTCTGGAGCCACGCCCTCTTGGGGATCAGCTTACAGGCCTGCCTCCCGGGCAGAGGCCTCAGAGCAATCCCACCTGGGAGATCCAACTCTTCTCTGAGGTGTAGTCCTCAGAGAGTGGCTTCTGCTGCTTTCGGCTGCCTGAGGTCCCGGGCTGGGGGCAGTGAGATATGGAAAAAAGCCCAGGAGCTGCTGGAGTGGGCGGCTTGTGTGCAGTTGGGGAGAGAGGGATCAAGGCTGGGCTGAGTTGTGGCCGCCAGGGTTCTCTTCTCTGCTGTGTGACCTTGGGCAAGACACTCCCCTGTTCAGGGCCTTGCCACCCCAACCCTAAAGCTACTAAACTCATTCTTGCTTGTCCCTATCCACTGCACAGGAAAAGGGTTGGGAGGATATTTTTATGGACAAAGGAACTGACACCAGTAAGGGCCTCCTGAGATACGCTGGGTGGCAGAGTTGGGGAGAATGGGGGGTTCTAAGTCCATTTCAGAGCTTCATTTTCACTCATCATCCTGGGGGTCAGCCACAGAGTGCGGCTCCCCTTAGTCCCTGGAATAACAGGGACCTGCCTCCTGGAACAGTCTGAAGCTGTCAACACCAGCAAAACCCATCTTTTAGTCCAGCTCTGGCTCAGGTTTTACAGGTAAAGCAGCTAAGGCTTAGAAAAGGAAAGCTACTAAAGGTCACACAGTTAACGTCAGGCCAAATCTGCTCTCCATACGTGGTGCTAAATTACACTTGGGGCAAGAATGTGGCAAATTGGGGAAGATCCCTAGTTAGCAGTAGCTGCATGGGCTAGGGCAGGCCAGAGATCAGAAAGAAGCCTATGGTGATTTGGCCCCCCACATCCCAGGGCCACTGCCTCACTGATTTGTTCAGAAAGGCAGAGCCAGCCACACACACCACCCACCCTTCATTGTTCAGATGAGAAAATCCGAACCAGAGAGGAAAGTGACTTTGCCAAGGCCTCACTGTAAGCTAGTCAGAGTCAGAATGGCACTCAGATCTCTAAATTCTGGAGTTGTGCCTTTCAGCAGCTTTGTAAAACAGGCCATATTTGGGACAGTAGGACAAAGGCTATAAACACAACTTGTCCTTAATCTTCCAGTTCCCCTTCAGCCCTTCTCCCCTCAGGACCTGGGCCTGTCTACAGCAGCCATGTCTTCTCCCCATCCAGGGTAAGTCAGCCAAACAAGGGGACCCCAAGGGACCTCAGCATTCCAACCCCATTTCTGCCATTCATCACAGAAACCTTCCAGCATCTGACAGACCATCAGCTCTGTTTAAAGACTAGAAGTGACAAGGACTCATCTCACAAGGTGGCCCATTCTAATATAACAGTTAGATTCCTTTGTTCTGAGCTAAACTGAGTTTCCCTATATTCCCATCTATTTGATCTGTGGCCACACAACGCAAGTCTAACCTGTCTGTCCCAGATCAGCCCTTGGGTTACATGAAGTCAGAGCTTGGGTGCCCTGGCCTTCTCCAGGGGCCCTAACCTGGGCTGACTTGCAGTTAATCTGAGAAGCTAAATTGCATTGCTGTCAAAAGCCAGAGGGATAGGTGAGTGGAAAGCATTTATCTACTGAGGGTGCACTTTGGGGCCAAACTGGGTGAATTTGGGATAGATGATATCTTGAGGGTCAGCTGGGCTCAGGAAAGTGAGTCTTATAAGACCCCATTCTCTAAGCCCTGCCAGGGAGGCTAAGGCTAAGGTTTGCAGTCAGCTACAGACCCCACCCACCCAAAGCATCCCACCAACAATAACTAGGTAGACCCAGGGGAGAGGTTTCAGCCATCGCTTCCCTGTATCTTCAGGGAAGAGTTTGCTGTCTCTCTATTTCATGAAATTCAGTCAATAACTCTTCATAAATAATTTATTTTCATTAGGATCCTAAGTGCTGGAGATGAAAGACCTAAACTGGCCCTCAGAGCAGCACAGTTCTTAGACTAGAACATTTTAGGAAGTTCTTTTCTTAGTGTTTTAAATTGAAAAAAAAAAAAAAAAAATCCATTGTAAAGGGGCAAAGGATAGGACAAACCCACAAGAGGACTCAGGGAGTTTAGGGCCCGCATTCCCCATGACTGAAATGTCATACACAGAGGACGGAATGCGAAGAGTCACTGCGAGAAGACACTCTTCCCACTGCTGCATCTGGAAGCTCACTGGCTGCTCTTTCTGAAGAAATAGCGAAAGGGGAAGAGAGAGCTGTGGGAAAGAGAGCAGAATGGGTTGAGATTCTAGAGGTCCCTCCCTTCTCCCAGTCCCATTAGGGGCATTAACGAGGGCATTTTTGCTTTGGGGAACCACTGTATGGATTCAACTCTGGAGCAGCATTTGAAAAGGTACCCAAAAGCTAATTTGGCTTTATACTCAGGAGTGGGGCATGAAGAAGGAGAATGGGGCAGCTGAGCTCTAGAGAGAGAAAGGGATTTGCTAACAGTCTTCTGCAAAAAGGACTCAAGATTCAGAGGGGAGAATGGAAATATTTTGGTAACCGAAGAATCTGAATGGCCCAACAATAAGAATAGTCTCTGTCCAAGGAGCATTTATGGAATGAGGTCCAATGCTAGGCACATTGGGGTGGGTTGTGTAAAAATGAACAAGACACAGTCTTTATTAAATCCAGTTAGGGCCCTTGTGCTGAGTCTCATTTCCATCATGTATCCTGGGGAAAATAGAGATTATGCAGGTAATCTGATTTCTTTTCTAATTTCCCTGAGAGACTCACTGAGGCAGACTCTGGTGCTAGACTGCCCTGAGTCTCAGTGTGATGGTAAGAGAGACACCTGTCCTACCTTAGAAACCCAAAGAAGCCACTGGTTCCCAGCTCTGGGGGTCCTTTAGGTGGAGATGGGTTGTTTTGCTGCAGTGGGGGGATAATCTGCCCTGCTAGGCTGTCCTCCCACTTAGAATCTGCAAGGAAAACAGTCAGGGAAAAAATGTTAGTCCGTGGGCTACTTTCATGTGACATCCAGTGTGGACCAAGGGCAGCCTCACACAAAGATTCGTTTGAAGCCAGGTGACTTGTTTGTTCTGACCCTCCTAATTTCATCTTAGGAGATGTTATTCTGACCTTGGAGTATTTTTCGTTGGGTCCCTGAGATTTTTACACTGCTCAAGTCCTAGCCACCCACCACAGATTGTTGTCTTCTCACGGAATGATGACTTGTTGAAGAACTCATATGCTTACATCCTAGCATCTGCGACAACTACAGTCCTTACAGAATCCTTCTGCTAGACAACACCTTCACATGCATTCCCAGCCCTTGCTGAGCATCCACTGCACCTTCAATATTAATACTAATGCCCCGAAGGGAAGAGGAGGAAAGACAGCTTCCTAAAGATTATTCTCCAACAAGACAAAAAAGTGAAACACATCCCTCCCAACTTTTCTGCAAAACTTATCACCCCACATGGAAATGTTTTCAAATAGTGGGAGCATCATTTTCACCATCAGAAGCACAGGAAGTACATGCATTGTTTCCCTTCACTTCTCTTGCGGGTTGGGGAGCTTTTATTATTCAAGGGCAGGTCCCCAGACCGAAGGATGGCCAACAGGCATCTCCATGGGAGCAAGACACATCACCCAGCCAGTGTGCCCACACTCAGAACTCTATGCTGCTCTGCTCATCAGAGAACTAAAGAGGACAGGATTATTATTAAAAGAGAATAAATTTCCCAGAACCTACCCTGTTCCTGGGTATCAGTGATATTAAATGTTGGGGTCTCCTGCCATTCCTGGTGGGTTTTTCTTTCTCTGTTCTGATAAAAAGAGGACCAAGAAAAGTTTTAAACTTTACTCCTATAGAGCTTGGTGGTCTGAATGCTATTTGTGGATTGGTGGTCAGTCAATGAAGACTTCATAGGGGAAGTGCTATTTGAATGGGAACTTGATGGACGAGTGGGATTTTGTCATAATGAGGGTGAGGAGATGGTCAGAGAGAGTAGGGCATTTAGATAGGGACATGATGTACAAAGGCACAGTACATTAACAAGTAAATGTAATGAGCGTGGCTAGAGCTGGGGCAGTGTAAACATAACTATGGCCTAAGCAACCAGCACACTACAACTCAATCGATTTTCTCCCTGGGCTACTCCTTTATATTCTTTCATACTTTGAAGGGGACATCCTATAACCTGGTTCCAAGCCCACAACATTTCCAGTTGACACCCTGATATTCAGAATCATGGTTCATATGTTTTCTTTGGAATTCTCTGCCAACTGGCCACTCCCCTCACCTGGAAAGAACCTGGGGGCCTGACTACCTAGCGGTGCTGAGAAGTTCCTTGAGCCGTTGTGCTGGTGAAGAATTCTACAGCAAGGGACTACAGACTGTCAAGGTGGGTCAGGAGGCAGAGACATGATAAGCCTCTGGGAAAGTTAGGATGTAGCCCCCATCCGAAGCATAAGCTCTATTTCTTTTTTTTTTAAGATTTTATTTATTTTTTTTGAGAGAGATAGTGAGTGAGTGAGAGAGAGCACAAGCCAGGAGGAGAGGCAGAGGGAGAAGCAGACTCCCCGCTGAGCAGGGAGCCCAATGTGGGGCTTGATCTCCAGACCCTGAGATCATGACCTGAGCCAAAGGCAGACACTTAACTGACTGGGCCACCCAGGCACCCTAAGCTGTATTTTTAAGAGAAACTTTTCCACAAAACTGCAAATTCTAGAACACATAGGCTGCTACCTAAGTAATATTCCTGTAAACATGAAAGGGAACTCTGGGGAGGAAGGAAACCATCTCTTACCTCTTCTAAGTCTCCAAGTACATTAGCTTACAGGGGTACAGCTCTGATTTGTAGCTTGAGGAAATGATTCTTACAAATGTAATGAAACTATGGTTTGGAGCTTAAATTCTGCTGCATTGGCCCTAATGAAAGCACCTACATAGGTTGGCAGTGGGGAACAGAAGGGCAGAGGCCCTGGGGCAAAGGTAAAGATCTCCCAACCAGGGGAGATTCCCCTGATGAGACAGTCTAGCATTTGTGCTCTCCTGAAAACTTGACAGATGTCTTTTTAGGCAAATGTCATAAGAAAGGAAAAACACAGCCTGAAATAAGACTGAGAGTACCATCTGGGACATCCAACAAGACATAATGCACTTACAACCCAACACAAGGTTGTTCTCTGTATGTTCAGGGCCAGATCTGCTTAGAAGTACAGTTCAAGCAGAGGTGGCAAAAAAACAAAAACAAAAAAACTACCTACATGATAATCTGTTTTACTTCTGAACCATTCATTGGCTCTCCCCCACTTTTTATCCTTACAAAGTTTGGATCTCTAGTCTGGGACCTGAAGTAATAAAGGGAATGGGTCGGCCTTTCCTTCCCATTCTCCCCAAAACACCTCTTATGAAACAGAGACCTTATTCAGATATGTGTCATGTTCTTCTAAGCTTTCCCCGTACCAGATCCCAGTGGTGTCATGTTCAGACATGACAGTCCACACTGATGTGACCCAACACGCTGAGTTCCCCAAAGGGGAGAGAAAATATTAAGCATTGGACCATAGGAGCAAATTCAATTTTTCCAGCTCAAGTGACCTACACTGAGAGTCACTGTGATCAGTCTAATTTAGGAGAAATCCTCTCTCTGGGAACAGGGTCTACAGTGGAGACCGTCATTGGGCTTTGAGTCAAAATCAATAAACATGTTCCTTTTGGTTTTTTTTCCTTCTCATTTTTTTCTAAACCCAGTATCAGGCTGAAAAGGTAATTATGTTGAGTAAGAAACTGTGGGTACTGTTCTTGAGGGAGATGATGTGTCAAACTAAGAATAGGAAGGTATGAAGGATAGAGAGTGAGAGAAATGTTCTTTTAATAGTAATTATCTTGGTTGTATAAAGCGTCTTTGTTCTTCAGATCTTCATGTACTCCTCCTGTACTTTCTCATTTCTTTTTCTTCCTTCTTGAAAGGATGGGAGTATAGAAGAGGGCAATCATCTGCCTATAATCACTCAGTGGGCCAGATGGCTTTGCACAACGGGTCCTGTGCCCTGCCCCTACCCACAGAGGCAGAGGTCCCAGTCCCTAAGGGTTCCTTCTTCCCCCAACTAAACAATAAGTTACTGGAAAGAAACCAGGTTTTACATGTTTGCATGCACCCCAGCAACTAACACAATACCTTGCAAACAGGAGGCAAAATAATCATTTAGAAATGTAAATCACTTTACTTTTCTACTTTAAAAATGTTTTAGGGAAATCCTATGATCTTGAAAGTGGCATTAAGCCCTTCATGATCTAGCCTGTGCTGACCTCTTCAGTAACGTTTCTTAGCACTGTACTTTAACTAAGCTCCAGGTACACTGGCTTGCAGTCACCAAATGCACTGTACTCTCTCCTCTTGGCCTTAGTTCTTTGAGCTACTCTGGGAACCCTCCCTCACATCCACCTAATTTGGGTGAGGTTCTCCTTTGTGGTTCCTTTGTTCCCTGTATTTCCTTTATTCCTGTATGTAGCACATCTATCAATAATTGTCTGCCTAGGGGCGCCTGGGTGGCTCAGTTGGTTAAGCGACTGCCTTCGGCTCAGGTCATGATCCTGGAGTCCCGGGATCGAGTCCCGCATCGGGCTCCCTGCTCGGCAGGGGGTCTGCTTCTCCCTCTGACCCTCCTCCCTCTCATGCTCTCTGTCTCTCATTCTCTCTCTCAGATAAATAAATACAATCTTTAAAAAAAAAATAATAATTGTCTGCCTAGCTTTATACCATTGACATTTTTAGAGGAGAGCATGGTATCTCTAATACTTGGCACACAGTAGACACACAGTAAGTCTGTTGAATAAATGCATATATAGATATACTGATCATGCTATGGAACTTAGGAAGGTGAGGGAGGTGAACTGGTAGTGTTTAAACACTGAAGGTCAGAGCTACTTTAGAGCGATAAGTGAAAAGTAAGAAAAGAGCACAAATAACAGCTATTTCAAGAGGGGAAGAAAAGAAAGAGTGCTCTTTTAGAGACTACTATGGAAAACAGCTCTGAAATGGAGTAGCAGCAGATATAGAAATATCTAAATGGGGAATAAACCTCACAAATGAAATCGAATACTATTGGGGCCAGCCCATCACTGCCCTAAATGAAGTTTTCTCTTACCAGTATCCCATGCGATACATGCCTAGCTCCTCTATAAAAACTAGATGTTCCCAGGCTCAGATCCCAGTGTAGATGATGGCAAAAAGGTTTCTAAAATGAAAAAAATTCTCTACTGGATCCCACCACACAATTCAGCAGACTTGTTTTCTTATCTCACTGCAGAGTACAAGCAGCAGCTTTTTAAGCTGAGAAGAAAAGACCTTTTAACAAAAGGATTCATCGATGTTTGTATTACGTGGCCACTTTGGGGACAGGTTGTGGCAAGGGTGGAATGGTTGGATGCTGCTCTGCGGATGGTGAAACCTGAGAATGAGTTCAGTCAGCTCAGTCTGTACTTAGGACCAGGAAGTGCTGGTAACAGGAATCCTGACCTGTAACAGAGCAGGAACAGCCAGAAGCCTTAAAGCCTCCATTTTGGTGCTTACCCTCCTGGTTTCCATAAGGGGCTTCTTTTTGCTGGGGCCTTGGCTGGAAATCCCCATCTTGGCCCTGAGGTGAGGGAAAAGCCCAGGAAATGTTACTGGCAGCAGCAACATCACCACATTTAAGCAAATGTGGCCCAAATGAATATTTCAGCAGGTTGGCTATTTTTATACCACTCCTGGCCTGCAGAGTAAATTGTGTGGCCAAATTCTCTTTGGGTGCTGCTTTAATTCACAGCAGAATCCCAATTTGAGACATTTAGTGATCTAGGGATTGAGAAAGGAAAAATGCGGTTGACAGCAGGTAATCAGATTTTGAAATACTTGTCTGCATCAAAACCCAGAGAAAGGCAAGATGTGAGCCCTCATCCCCATGGAAAATTCAGTCAAATAGAACCGAGCAAAGCTTCACACCCCTAAGTACCTTCACATTCCACCTGGCTGGGAAAGAAATTTCCTAACTCTTCCCTGACATGTGCATTTGGAGGGTAAAGGGCTCAGCTCCCTCATGGTCCACCCTCACTGCTCCTGTGTGCCCCCATGATCCCAAGAAGGGAGCAGCTGCTCTCTGTGAACATGGGCTGAAAGCACATTGAGCTGGGGAGCAAACCACATCTTGGATTATTCTAGCTGCCCTCTCTGGGTGCAAATAAGAATGACTGTATTACCTTACTGACTCACTCTGTCCCTGACAGAGATTCGGGAGAAGAAAATAAGTACCCTCTACAATACCAACTTTGACATGTTAGGGATGTGTTCAACATTGCCCCTAATGTTGCAGCATCTCACGCAGTAATTGATACATAACCTCTTGCAGACATTTCCATTTTAGCCTACTCCATCTCTTAAGGTAGAGTTCCAAAAGTTTACTGCTTACTAGGTAAAATAGAATTATATTTTATTTTTTTCTCACACTCTTGAGGGTTTCTCTACATTCTTGTATAATATTTTGGGACTTCTTAAGTCTTATGCCTTCTTTTTTTTTTTTAAAGATTTTATTTATTTATTTGACAGAGAGAGACACAGCGAGAGAGGGAACAGAAGTAGGGGGAGTGGGAGAGGGAGAAGCAGGCTTCCCGCGGAGCAGGGAGCCTGATGCGGGGCTCGATCCCAGGACCCTGGGATCATGACCTGAGCTGAAGGCAGACGCTTAACCGATTGAGCCACCCAGGCGCCCAGTCTTATGCCTTCTGGTAGTATGACCATACTAAAAGCTCACTGAATAGGACTTGGATTCAATTGTATAGATCTGATTGCATTTCCTCCCAGCCATTGTCTGAGGAACAGAAGAATCCTACTTTGCTGAGGAAGGAATTGTGTTCAAATTGCATTGCAAATATCAACTTGCCTCCTTCCCTTAGTCCACCCATGGAAATAGGCAAGTACCAAAGAACCCAAGACAAAAAGTGACTCATTGAAGGACAAGATGCCTGGCAGCAGTAGCTGGCAAAGCCTAACCAGGATACAGGATTTAGACTCTCTCTCAACACCACTGACCTGTCCAGCGCTGGCCTGCTGGGGGAGCTGGGCACTTCCGCTCGTTTTCGTTTCCTCATCATGGCTCCTGCTGTTTTCCTCTCTGCTAGGACCTTGAGAGAGGAACCCGACTCCTGTGACTCCTTTTCCAGAGCTGTTCACAGTTCATCAGGGCACAGTGAAGAGAACTCCCCATCTTTAAACTGCCAAAAGTGACTTTTAACACCAGCTTTTCAAGTAAGGACAGACATTCTATTAGAGACCGTCTCAGAAATCTAGCCACGAGGAAAAAGATGGTCTCATGTATACAATTCTGACTGCATCTGAGCAGCAACCAAGGGGCAGAGGAAGAGATAAGAGCAGAACTTTTGGACAACAGAAGGCAATAAAGGCAATTGTCATCTTGTACAGAAAAGACAAACTTACCAATCCAAGAGGACTGTCGTTTATTGACTCCCCTACAATAGGAAATTTGAATGTCATAATGGATCAAGATGCTGTTCACTTGGATTTCTATCTATCATTTATTTCTCAGAACTGGTCCTAGACAAAAACCTCTGTGTCTGCCCTTCTCCTTTCTGCCTGGTACCACTTTTGCTAGAAATACAGTGTCTTCGGGGCACCTGGGTGGCTCAGTCGTTAAGCGTCTGCCTTCGGCTCAGGTCATGATCCCAGGGTCCTGGGATGGAGCCCTGCATCGGGCTCCCTGCTCGGCGGGGAGCCTGCTTCTCCCTCTCCCACTCCCCCTGCTGTGTTCCCTCTCTCGCTGTGTCTCTCTCTGTCAAATAAATAAATAAAATCTTAAAAAAAAAAAGAAATACAGTGTCTTCAAATTCTCCTCCTCCTGTTTTAGAACTCTTTGTCATCTACAAGCTCAAAAGTATTACATTCATACTGTATTCTAATGATATGCCACTTAAAAGGGAATGATCCTTACTAAAAGAAACAAGGTGGAACTTCAGACATCAGTGATAAATGAATTGGGTAGATATTTTGAGGCAAGGTCTTTACACTCTTTCCCAAATCAAACTGGCAGGTATCTATTTGTCCCTCTATGAGTAAAAATAGTAATGGCCTTCAGAGATTAAAAACTGGGAGATGTCGGGGCGCCTGGGTGGCTCAGTTGTTAAGCGTCTGCCTTTGGCTCAGGTCATGATCCCAGGGTCCTGGGATCGAGCCCCGCATCAGGCTCCCTGCTTGGCGGGAAGCCTGCTTCTCCCTCTCCCACTCCCCCTGCTTGTGTTCCCTCTCTCGCTGTGTCTCTGTCTGTCAAATAAATAAATAAAGTCTTAAAAAAACAAAACAAAACTGGGAGATGCCTTTAAGATACCCCTAAGGTGAAAGTCACTGCATACTCTAAAATGGAAGGAAGTATTTTTATATAATAGATCGCTTTCACTGAGTGATTACTGTCAGTCAGACTTTGTACTCCTTTCCATCTACCAGTATTTATATATATGTAATCCTTTTAACAACCCAACGAGATAGGTGCTATTATTATTCTTCACCATTTCACAAAGGGGGCACAGAAAGATAACTAATTCACCTAAGGTCATACAACTATTAAGTGGCTAATCCACCAGGATTTGAACCAGGCAGTCTGGCTTGGAGCACTTTGTTCCTAACCTCTGCACTGTGCAGTGTTGGGGCCCAGTCTGGCTGACCATTTTGCCACATTGAGCTTGCACCGCTAACCATGGACATTCAACCTTCCCTATTTCTTCTCTACCACTCACTTCCATCATTCTACTTACCAGGTGACGGGGTTTCATGAAACCATTTCATCTCCACATATAGAGTGAAAACAAATGGATAAGGGACCAAGACAATTTCCCCATGTTTGAATTTCAGGTGGGACACTCTCTCCCATTTGCTTTTATCTGGGAAATGGTGCTAAGGAGTGAGGAAAGAAGTCAGTCAGTATGAGTCCTTGAGTACTATTTTAGGGATAAGACCCTCTCCTTTCCCTGGTTTGCCCGGTGGGTTTGCTGCTTCCATTTGAATCTACAATGCGACCTGCAGCTCATTTCTATCCAGAAATGAAAGGATACAGGGAAATATAATGAAGTGGTCTGTAGCAAATGGCTGCAGATTGTCCAAGTTTCCCAAGACTACACGAATAGAATCCTGAGGAAAAAAAAAAAGTTGAAATGACTTTAATACCGTCTGATCCCAGCCAATCTTTCCATTTATACCTGTCACTGTTTTTTCCATACTCTATATTCTATTAAAGCTGAACTATTTGCTGTTCCCTGAACATGCCTTCTGCTTCTCCATTTCTGTGTTCTTGCATAGTCTGTTCCCTCTGCCTGAAATGCCCTTTCTACCCATCAGCCTATGTCCAAATCCCACCTATCCTTTAAGGTCCAGTTCAAAAGCTATCTCCTCCAGAAACTTTTCCCTGATTTCCCAAGTTGTAAATTAACTATTAGTCTCAAACTTCACAGTAGTTAGCCTTGGGTCTTTACTACATTCCAACCACGTTTTATTTTTCTTACTGAGAAATCTCCTTGAGCTAGAATATATACCTGATTTATTTTAGCATCCCTTCTTTGGTGTCTACCTCAGTAAATGTATACTGACTGACTGAATGAATAATACTGGTATTTATTGATATGTAGTTATTTTACGTTAGCTTAAGTTCAACCTTTTCTTCTACTCTTTTAAAATCTTAATTGATTAGTCTCTAATTAACCTATGCTTATTAGTATACACCAATTAAACAATTTGGTATCATAAAAAGACTACTGGATTTCTATGGGGGAAACATCTTAACTTCAGTCTTAGCTTTGTCATTTCATCTCTCTAAGCCTCGATTTCCTCGTATTAGGGCTCACAGTAGGTAGAAATGGTGCCTTATTTATCTTTGTATTCTCTGTACTACCATAGTACCTGGTTTACAATTTTAAAGTTTATTTATAATCTCTACGCCCAACACGGGACTTGAATTCATGATCCCGAGATCAAGAGTCGTACGCTCCACCAACTGAGCCAGCCAGGAGCCTCTGGCTTATAATTTTAATAACTAATATTTATTGAATAATCATGATGTCAAGTGTTATTATTTTTATACATATTAACAGTCATAGAGACCTTATGAGATAGGCACTTCTATTATCCCCATTTTATAGACAAGGAAACTGAGACAAAGAGAGGTGAAATAACTTATTCCGGTTTACATAGATAGTAATGGTGGAGCCAAGATATGAACCCAGGCAGTGGGGTTCCAGAGTTTACCCTCCTAACCATTAGGCTCACTGCCTATCAATAAACATTTTCTGAATAAATAAAAGAGGATGGTAACATCTGACTCAAAACTGAGAGTAAGAACATATAAAAAGCACTTTGAAAAATTTGGTAGGATTATAAATGTAGATAGATGCTTTCTAGCTATGATGTGGCAAGCATTGCACACATCTATTTCTAATCTTCACCACAATCTTGGAAACAGGTATTATTTATTAACTTCATTGACAGATAGGAAAACAGGTTCAGAGAAAATAGGTAACTTCCCCCAAACCCCAGTGTGAAGGCAGAACTTAACTCCTATCCAGATGTGACTGGCTCTAAGGTCTATGCTCTCTCCACTTTACTATGCTGCCTTGAGCTGTTCTCTGCCAGAATTAACTGAAGCAAAGTGAAATAAACTTTGCTCTACTCACAATTAAAATAAGCAGAAAACTGTCATGGTCCTATATTAAAATAATTGTTATTTATAATGATGTCTATGAGCTCCTGCAAGATCCTAACGTATCTTTCAACACTTAGCCAAAGAGCTATAGATAGATACCTTTAAGGCTATGACTTAAATTTTTGGTTGAAAGAGTTTTGTTTGTATATTTCATTGTATTCAAATTCTTTGAAATCTGGCAGCAGATGTCTTCATAAATTAGAACAGCCATAAATCACTGAGTTGTGAAGTTAGAAGAGAAATAACCTAGTTTAGCACTCTCATTTTATGTATGAGGCAATTAAGACCAAGAGAATGATTTACTGGGGGGCTGCGCAGCTAATCAGTAGCTCAGCCAGGGCTGGAATCCAGGGCCAGCACCCAGAGCTCTTCTAACTCCTTGGACAATGCTTTCACCAATTTACAAAGCTTTTCACTTGCTCAATCTTCTTCCTGTGGGAGAACCTAATGCTGGGTAGAAAAGGAATGAAAATGAAGTAGGAATAAAGCAAATTGCAAATGTTTCCAATTAAAGTGAAGACACAGCAGTGTTGTCTGTGTATTTACAGTTGAGTTTCCTGAACGTCAAGTACCAGGCAGTGGTTGGGAGGGTGAGGTTTCCCAGAGCCCTGGAAGGCGGCAGTCCTCCAGAAGCTTTCTCTATGCTGGCTGCCATAAAAGAGAGCTGCAGAGGGCTGGGAACTCTGGTGGAAACAATAGAACTCAGCCTCAAAGGTGCTGACACCAACTAGGAGAACTGAAAAAGGATACAGGTTTTAATTTCCCTGGAAAAACAGTGAAGTTTCTTTGCAGAGGAAATATGGCAGGGAGAAGCCAAGTGATCAAGTGGAGGCTATGACTCAGTTCACAGGAAATAATTAAGATCTGGATATGGACACATCCTTGTCTTAAAGAATAACTTTCCCAGAAGTTGTCTGCTTCTTTCCCTACCTCCAGCTCCTGGACGATGACTTCCTTATTCTCTATCTCTTCCCCTCTAGAAGGTAAACAGATAAGACATAAGTACACCAAGAAGGAAAACTCTGAAGACAGTAGACTCTACGGTCAGTAGAGAGAAGACAGTAGAGCAAAAATGACACTTCCAATGAGCTACAGAAACATAACTAAGTAACAGTTGTGTGTGTTGACCCAGGGCTCATGGGAAAAAGTGATCACTTAGGTGGTGTGATCTGAGAATCGGTAGAAGGCTGTACTAAAATATCTTCTTCATTAACCTGCCAAGACCCGACATTTCCACTGTGAAAGTTAATAATTTGTTAGACGAGGTGTACTCAAGTGTAGTCTGTGGACCACCAGGTGTCCTCAAGACCCTTTCAAGGGATCTCGAAGGGCAAAACTATTTTTATAGTAATAATAAGATGTTATTTGCCCTTTTTTGCTGTGTTAATATTTTAATCATTAGTGCAAAAGCAGTGGAGGGCAAAATTGCTGGTGCCTTTACACAAATCTAGCCAGTTGCACTAAACTGTAAGTTTAAATTGTGGTCATTTTAACTGCCACACAGGAAAAAAAAAATCCAGCTTCATTTAATATATTTGAGGAAGAAGGAAAAAATTAATAATTTTATAAAATCTCAACCCTTAAATACACGTCTTTTTAATACATTATGTGATAAAATGGAAAGTACTCATACAGCACTTCTGCTGCACACCGAAATACAACAGTTGTCTTGAGGAAAAGCACTTGTACAATTGTTTAAATTGCAAACTGAACTAGCTGGTCTTTTCATGGGATGTTGTTTTACTTCAGTGATCAGTTAACAGACAAACTATAGTTGTTTTCAGATTTAGGAATGTGACATTTTCTCAAAAATGAGCTTATCAATTCAAGGAAAGCAACGGACAGTTTGTGTCAATGATAAATTTTGGGATTTCAAGTAAAAATTTGAACTTTGGAAAACTTCTATCCACCACACTGAGGTTGACAACTTTCAAATATTTAAATACTTTTCTAAGATTGATAGGGATATTAGCAAATATGATTTTATGATATTGTATAATGAAATGAGTCGACATTTGGATGATCTATATAAGTCAGTGAACCAGTATTTTCCAAATGACCAATGAAACGCATCATGTTACAAAATCATTCTAGGTAAAAGATTCACTTACAGAACAAAACAGACCAATAGCTTTTAATGTAGCAGAGGTCAGAAAGTTCACTGATACAATTCAGATTCCATACTGCAACTAACCTTTAAAAAACTACCATATTAACGGAGAGCCTGGGTGGCTCAGTTGGCTTAGCAACCAACTCTTGATTTCAGCTCAGGTCATGATCAATCTCGGGTCATGACTGATCTCAGGTCTTGGGATCGATCTCTGTGTAGGCCTCTGGGCTCTCTGCTCTGTGTTCAGTGCAGAGTCGGCTTGAGATTCTCTCTCTCTCTCTCCCTCTGCTTCCCAAACCTGCCTACCCACTCTCTCTCTATCTAGACAAATAAAGTCTTTAAAAAAAAAAAAAAAAAAAAGAACAGAACAAAAAAAACTACCACATTAGGGAAGCCTGGGTGGCTCAGGCAGTTAAGTGTCCAACTCTTGGTTTCGGCTCAGGTCATGATCTCATGGGACGTGAGATAGAGCCCCGAGCCTGGCTCTGTGCTGTGTCTGCTTGGGATTCTTTGTCTCTCTCTCTCCTTCTGCCCCTCCCCCTGCTCACGCACGGGCACACATTCTCTCTCTCTCAAATAAATAAAATCTTTAAAAAGAAAAAGACACTCCCTCTGCCTCTCCACCTGCTCTCAAATAAATAAACAAATCTTTTTTAAAAACTACATTAAAACAAAACAAAACAAAACAACTACCACTTGTTCATTTTTAATGCAGGGTCAAAGAAGAATATCCACAATGATCTGTGAAGGCTATTATCAAATTCCTACCCTATCACAACAGATTGAATGCAGAAGCAGATATAATCTAGCAGGCTTCTATTAAACCAGACACTAATGAGATTTGCAAAAATTTAAAACAATGCCAATCTTCTCATTAATGTTTTGTCTTGGAAAATATGGTTATTTTTAATAAAAATGTGTTAACATTTAATGGATATATTATTATTTTAAATTAATACACTTTAAAATTGTGGTAAAATATATACAACCTAAAATTTGCCATTTTAAACATTTTTTTTTAAAGGTTTTATTTATTTGACAGAGAGAAAGACAGCCAGAGAGGGAACACAAGCAGGGCGAGTGGGAGAGGGAGAAGCAGGCTTCCCGCGGAGCAAGGAGCCCGATGCGGGGCTCGATCCCAGGACGGTGGGATCATGACCTGAGCCGAAGGCAGACGCTTAACAACTGAGCACCCAGGCGCCCCACCATTTTAAACATTTTTAAGTATACAATTCAGTGGTATTAATTACACTCATAACCATGGTGTGCAACCATCACCACTATTTCCAAAGTTTATCTTCCCAAACAGAAACAGTGTACTCATTAAGCAATAATTCCCCATTCTGCCCTCCACCCACCCTGGTGACCCCTAGTCTACTTACTTATTTTTTTTTTAAGATTTTATTTATTTGACAGAGAGAGACACAGCAAGAGAGGGAACAGAAGCAGGGAGAGTGGGAGAAGGAGAAGCAGGCTTCACGCCGAGCAGGGAGCCCAATGTGGGGCTCGATCCCAGGACCCTGGGACCATGACCTGAGCCGAAGGCAGATGCTTAACGACTGAGCCACCCAGGCGCCCCCCAGTCTACTCTCTATCTCTATAAATTTTTCTATTTAATATTTCATGGAAGTGGAATCATACAATATTTTTCCTTTTGTTAGTGGATTATTTCACTTAGCATAATGTTTTCAAGGTTTATCCATGTTGTACCTGTATCAGAACTTCATTTCTTTTGCAATTTCTTTTTATGGCTGAATAATATTCCATTGTATATATGTATATACCACACATATAACTGCATTTTGTTTATCCATTCACTAATTTGATGGACACTTGGGTTGTTTCCGTCTTCTGGCTATTGTGAATAATACAGCTATGAACAGTGTTGTACAACCACCTGCTTGAATCCCTGTTTTCAATTCTTTGGGGCATATACCTACAAATGAAATTGCTGGGTCATATCGTAATTCTATGTTTAACTTTTTGAGGAACTGCCAAATTGTTTTCCACGGCAGGTGCACTACTTTATATTCCCATAAGCACTATACAAGGTTTCCAATTTCTCTACATCCTTGCTAACTGTTAATTTTCTGGGTGGTCTTTTTTGTTGTTTTTTGTTTTTTTATATAGCTATCCGGGTAGGTGTAAAGTGGTATCTCATTGTGGTTTGGATTTGCATTTCCCTAGTGACTAATGATATTGAACATCTTTTCATGTGCTTATTGGCCATTCATATATCTCCTTTGAAGAATGTCTATTCAAGTCTTTTGTCCATTTTAAAACTGGTTTATTATTTTGCTGTTGAATTGTACTTTTTTCTATATTCTAGACATTAAACTCTTACCAGATATATGATTTACAAATATTTTTCTCCCATCTGTGGGTTGCCCTTTAACTCTGTTGATAGTGTCCTTTGATGCACAGTTTAAAAAAAATTTAGGGCGCCTGGGTGGCTCAGTCCTTAAGCGACTGCCTTCGGCTCAGGTCATGATCCCAGGGTCCTGGGATCGAGCCCCGCATCGGGCTCCCTGCTCAGCGGGAAGCCTGCTTCTCCCTCTCCCACTCCCCCTGCTTGTGTTCCTGCTCTCGCTGTCTCTGTCTCTGTCAAATAAATAAATAAAATCTTTAAAAAAATAAAAAAATAAAATAAATTTAGTTGGGGCACCTGGATGGCTCAGTTGGTTAAGCGTCTGCCTTCGGCTCAGGTCATGAGCTCAGAGTCCTGGGATGAGTCCTGGATTGGGCTCCCTGCTCAGCAGGGAGTCTGCCTCTCCCTCTGCCCCTCCCCCCCATGCTCTCTCTCTCAAATAAATACATAAAATCATTAAAAAAATTTTTTTTTAATTTAGTCAAGTCCAAATTTATCCTAATTTCTTTTGTTGCCTATGCCTTTGGTATTGTATTTAAAAAACCACTGCCAAATTCAAAGTCATGAAAATTTGTCCCTATATTTTCTTCTAAGAGCTTTACAGTTTTAGCTCTTAAATTTAGATCATTGATTTTTAAAAAGATTTATTTATTTTTAGTGGGGGAGGGGCAGAGGGAGAGGGAGAAAGAGTCTTAAGCAGATTCCACACTGAGTGTGGAGCCCAACATGGGTCTCAGTCTCATGACCCCAAGATCATGACCTGAGTCAAAACCAAGAGTTGGTAGCTCAACCGACTGTGCCACCTAGGTGCCCCTAGATCTTTGATCTATTTTGAGTTAAGTTTTGTATATGGTATAAGGTAAGGGTCTAACTTCATTCTTCTGCATGTGGATATCTACTCTTCTCAGAACCATTTATTAAAGAGAAGAGACTATTCCTCCCCTATTGAATGGTCTTGGCATTCTAGTCAAAAACCAATTGGCCAGGGCACCTGGGTGGCTCAGTGGGTTAAGCGACTGCCTTTGGCTCAGGTCATGATCCTGGAGTCCCAAGATCGAGTCCCGCATCAGACTCCCTGCTCAGTGGGGAGTCTGCTTCTCCCTCTGCTCCTCCCCCTCTCCTGTTCTCTCACTCTCTCTCTAATCAATAAATAAAATCTTAAAAATTTTTTGGGGGGGCGCCTGGGTGGCTCAGTTGGTTAAGCGACTGCCTTCGGCTCAGGTCATGATCCTGGAGTCCCGGGATCGAGTCCCACATTGGGCTCCCTGCTCGGCGGGGAGTCTGCTTCTCCCTCTGACCCTCCCCTCCTCCTGCTCCCTCTCTCTCATTTTCTCTCTCTCAAATAAATAAATAAAATCTTTAAAAAAAAATTAAAAAAAAAATTTTTTTTTTTTAAAAACCAGTTGACCATAGATGTGAGGGTTTATTTCTGGGCTCTCAATTCTATCCTATGGTCTATAAAGTTTTCCTAAGGCCATACCATACTTTTTGATTACCTGTAGCTTTGTAGTAAGTTTTTAAATTGGGAAGTATGAGTCTTCCAACTTACTCTTTTTTAAGATTATTTCAGCTATTCAGGGTCCCTTGAAATTCCATATGAATTTTAAGATGGGCTTGTCCATTTTTGAAAAATATGCCATTGGGATTTTGACAGGGATTTCACTGAATCTGTAGATTGCTTTGTCATCTTAATAATATTAAGTCCTCCAATCTACAAACACAGATATCTATTAATTTAAGGCTTTGATTTCTTTCAGCAACTTTTTGTAGTTTTCAGTGTGTAAGTCTTCCATTTCTTTGGTTAAATTTATTGCTAAGTATTTTTTTCATATTGATGTTATTGTAAATGGAATTGTTTTCTTCATTTTGTGTTCAGATTGGTTTTTGCCAGTGCACACAAATACAACCGATTTTGTATGTTGATTTTGTATCCTGAAACTTTTCTTAATTCATTGATCAGGTCTAATAGTTTTTCTGTGTACGTGTGGATTCTTTAGGATTTTCAACATGTAAGATCATGTCTTCCACAGATATAGTTTCACTTCTTCCTTTCCAATTTGTATGCATTTAATTTCCTTTTCCTAATTGCTCTGGCTAGAAACCAGTACTATGATGAATAGAAGTGATGAAAGTGGGCATCCTTGTCTCTTTCTTAAAATTTTATTTATTTGACAGAGAGAGACATAGCAAGAGAGGGAACATAAGCAGGGGGAGTGGGAGAGGGAGAAGCAGGCCTCCCGCAGAGCAGGGAGGCCAGTGTGGGGCTCGATCCCAAGATCCTGAGACCATGACCCGAGCTGAAGGCAGTAGCTTAACAACTGAGCCACCCAGGCGCCCCATTGTTTTTGATCTTAAGGAAAAAGCTTTTTTTAAAAATGAGTATGATGTTAGCTGTGGCATTTCCATATATGGCCTTATCATACTGAGGAAGTTCCCCTCTATTCCTAGTTTATTGAGTGTTTTTATCATGAAAGGGTGCTGGATTTGGTCAAATGCTTTTTCTTTTTTCTTAAAGGAGGTGAAAGTTTATTGAATACACCTCAAAGGGGCAGCAGGCAGGACAGCAGAGGAAAGGCTGTCTGCCTCAAATGCTTTTTTTTATCAATTGGGATGATTATGTGTTTTTTCCCCCTTCATTCTATTAATGCAGTGTACTATATTGGTTGATTTCTTTTTTTTTTTAAAGATTGTATTTATTTATTTGAGAGAGAGTACACAAGCAGGGGGAGGGGCAGAGGGAGAAGCAGACTCCCCACTGAGCAGGGAACTCAATGCAGGACTTGATCCCAGGACCCTGGGATCATGACCTGAGCCAAAGGCTTAACTGACTGAGCCACCCAAGTGCCCCTATATTGGTCGATGTCTGTATGCTGAACCATCCTTGAATTCCTGGGGTAAATCCCAGGTATGTGAACGATGCCAATCTCCTCATTAATTTTTTAGAAATATAGTTTTTTTTTTTTTTAAGATTTACTATTTATTTTAGAGAGAGGGAGAGCAAGAGCAGGGGGAGGGGAAGAGGGAGAGGGAGAGGAAGAGGAAAAGAGAGAATCTCCAGCAGACTTCCTGCTGAGTGTGGTGCCTGATGTGGGGTTCGATCTCATGACCCTGAGATCATGACCTGAGCCAAAATCAAGAGTCAGATGCTTAAGTGACTGAGCCACCCAGGTGCTAGAAATATACTTTTAATAAAATATATTATCTGTTAACATTTAATGATACATTATTTTTAAATTAATAAGTATGTTATTTTAATTTTTCTGTTTTAATCTTTATATGATACATATTGACAGGTATAACCCACATAATCAAAACCTCTTTGGGATCCTCAATAATCTTAAGAGTGCAAAGAGATCCTGAGATAAAAAATCATGAGAACCACTGCTCCAAAGGTATGCCATCAATAACTTAGAAACTTACCTGAATAATAATATGTGGAATATAAAATATCTGGGAGAGTCCTACAAGATGCTACTTCAGTCAGTCCCCTGGACTGAGTGAAGGCAGAGAAGGGATGACCTGTCGGAATGTACTAACCTGTATTTGCAAAAGCTACTCTCCTAGCTTTAAAATTACCTGATGCTGTTGCCATATCTAATTTTGAATTTATACACATTGGGTCCTGCATGAAGAAACCTCGTTTCTGGAAACGGGTAGGTGAAGGGTTTTAAACTCATTGCTTCCAAATGATAGCCTAATAAAACAGAAATATTAGAGAATTATTAAAAAGCTAAAGATGGTTTCTTATCAACATTATGGTATAGGAAAGACAGCCTGCCCAATATATAGCATCTCTTCATGAGTAAAACATCCGACACTCAGCACCACTGTCCCAGGCTCAGTTTTTATACTAATTTTCTATATTAATCACTGGACCATTCTCCTACCTGCATGGGGAAGATATGGTGATTGGGGATAATCTCTATACTTGAAATCAAAAGACGTGAGTTCAAGGTTTGTAGTTTACCTTACACCTCAGGCAGATCACTTCTCTCCATGAGACTAATAATAGCAACATCTGATGACTCACAAGGTTTTTGTTACGATTAAATCCATCTCCCAAATATCTCTTGAATCTATTCTCCTCCCTTGTCCCCACTTTCCCTGGAACCTATGGCAGTGTGAAGAGGGCTCAAGTCAAATAATTAAGCAATCCAAATGCACCAATAGGTGACATAATCTGCTGTTAATTTTAGATGAAGTTAAGGGATGAGCACACGTTCCAGCCACAGCTAATACAGCAAATAAGGATGTACACTAATGTTTTCCAGTGCTGCCGAGAAACGCCTTATCTTTCCTAGCTCTCAACCGCCCTTCCTCTTCACCGCTTGTGAGATTGCCTGTGCCACAAGAGTGCCTACTATCCTCCTAGCACTTACTAGTTTCACTTTTCCTATTCCAGAATCTCTGCCCACTTAAGGTCCTCCCTGAGGGAAACTAGGGAAAGGGGGAAGATGGAAAAAGAAGAATGGCATGTCTCTTCTCCTCCAAGAGGGCATTTGGTACACACTCAGAAGTAAGAATCAAGCACAGTAATTAGTGATTTTCTAAGTCATCAGGACTTTTCTGTGTCTCTTATTACTTGTAGAGATAATAAACCCTGCCTTTTCTGTGTCTTCATAGGGAAGCTTTTATCCCCAGGATAAAAGCTACCTACACACAACACAAAGTATTGATTTCAGAGGCAGCTAAGATGGGGTAGACAGACAGGCACAAAGAAAGAATAATTTAGGTTTGAACCTCAGCTCCAACATCCCTCCTTAGTTTCTCTAGGCCTTAGTTTTCTTACTTATACAATAATAACAACAACTAACAACAGCTTTTTGTTATGCCCTATTGTAAGTGCCTTACATATCTCACTTAATCCTCACAAAAAGCCTGAAATCAATAGTCTAAATTTGATAGATAAGGAAACCGAGGCACTGAGAGATGAAGTAACCTCCCCATAGCTGTATGAATGTTGGAATCAGGATTCAAAGTGAGGTAATATAAGGCCAGACTTGATACTCTTATCCACTTTTCCACTCTGCTTTCTGAGGGTTTTAGTACCCCCCCCAAAAAAAGATAATATAAAATCATTTTGTAAGTACTAAAATATTATGTACACGTAAAGGACTATTTTCATTATTCTTTCCTCCATATTACCCCAATACCATTTCTACTCAGCAAAGAAAACTCTTGTATGGTGGAGTCAGGAGATCTATGTGCCCAAAGCATGGAATTTCCCACAATTTCCAAAGTTCAAGTCTCGGACTGCCAGTAAAGAGATATCCCAGTGTCTGATCTCGGCTGCTTCGGATTAGAATGACAGGAGGCTGGAGCCAGAGCCCATGAGACTATTTAGACTAGAATTGCAGTCAAAAGTGAAAAGAAATAGTTGGTGCCAACTGCAAAGTTACCAGAGGGGAAATATTGTTCATATCCTGAAAAAAAAAAAAAAAAGCTTGCTGATACTCATGTCCAAGGCATGGCAGGAACCCAGCTAGATTTGATTGTGTTTTTGGTGCTAAGGTGACTTTTCTAAGTAGGAAAGGAGTGCACCTGGTGAGACTTAGGCTGCGGCCACAAAAATTTAGCTTTTAGTTATTCAGAGGGTTCTCCTACAATGCAGTCACCTCTCACCACAGACTGAGGGCTGGGGGGATCAGAGCAAAGGAAATGAAGGACATTTGCTGGAAATGACAATCCAGAGAGGAAACTTCATGTACTGCACCACAGCTGACTGTCTGAAAGAGGTAAAAACAGCCCTCTCTGGCTGGGGCCTGTCTGTTAATTGCTGGCTGCCTGCTTCAGAAACAAACACCACACACTAATTACCTCATTTGAAAATAAAGATTAGACAGCATAATCCAAAAGAACCACATAGTAGTAGTGGTTCAAAGATTTCACAAGGTTATTTTCCAACATGAGTATTGCAGTCATGATGACACTGTGGGATCTTAACAGATGAAGAGTCAGACTCTCAACCCATTTTTAGGTGATCAAAAAACATGATGGGTTTAAAAGAAAAAAAAAGTTTAGAGTTAATATGCATTAGTTGGAAAGACATAAGATTTGGAATTGGAGGATCAAAGCTTGAGTCCTAGCTCTGCCTCTTATTAGTCATTAGACCCTGAGCAAGTCACTTAGCCTCATCATTTCTCAGTTTCTACACCTGCAAATGGGAATCCTATCTACCCCTGGAATTGTTGAAGGATTAAATAAGATTATATTGTAAACAGCACTTCAGAAACTGTAGAGTATTATATAAACATTAGCTGTTTTGATGTATTTGAAGTTTCTCTCTTAATGCTTCACTAGCAAAGCAAATTTAAGAGAGGAAAACCATCTTTAATCTCAGTGCAAAAATGTGACACATCCCAATCAAGAACCTTTCTTTGAAAATCCCCAATAATTAGATTTAAATGACACATTGGCAATGATGTTAGATTTTTAAGGGGTTTTAGTAATTTGTTTCACATAAAGAAACATCTAGGTCAATGCATAGAATCTAAAGCAGGGCTGAATGCTATATGAGGATAATGATATTGACTATTGAGGTAGAAGGAGATGATAAGGAAGTACTGTCACTAAATATATCTGGTGACATTTGATGGAGAAATCCTCCACAGGGTTAAAGAATAAAGAGCTTTCATAAGCATTTATTCAAAATACATTTACTGGGCAGATCTAATATGACAGGCTCTGTGACCAGGGAGTGTGGGCAACAACATAGGGAAATCCCACTGAGACTATGAATTTACTACTGAAGTTTTAGAACTGAGATTGAAGACAGATGACCAGCTTCTCCTTCCGCCTTCACAAATCCGTGGCTGGTCTCAGAGGTCTGCCTGGCTCTGCTGAAGTGTATTCAGACTAGAGATTCTATAGTAGAGAATATTTCCAGACTCATGGTTGCCTATAGCCTGAAGTGCCCTTCATTTTAGGGAAGGAACTGATTTCACCAAAGAAGGAAATAAATTCCACAAGGTCACATAACTCAGTATGGAACCAAGATTAGCACTCCCCAAGACTGCTGATTCCTTTGGCCCACACATTTTCCATTACAACACATCACTCTGTCAGTCACTTTATTAAACTGTAAACCCTGGTCACTCTCATAATTGTGGATGACTCAAGACAAACTCAATCTGGGTACAAAGGCATCAAACCAAAATGTTAGCTTTTCTGATTAAATGTTTTAGAATTATTTCTTGGAGGTGTTAAAGGGTCACATTCACATTTGTTTGTCTTCAAGCTCTATTTTCAAAAGGAACTATGCTCAGTTTCTTCACCTTGCAGGGTGACTAGGACAGCTGATGAAATAACGCAGGTATAATTGCTTACTGTAATGCTCTACACATAGATTACTCTTTATTTAAAAACAAACAATGTGTTAAGATATGGGACAAGAAGAGACTAAATAAGACTACCCAGGATACTTTCATGCTTATCGATGTCACTCTTTCTCATTAGGTTTCTTTCTACTCTTTAGACACAATCTTTAAAATGCTCTTGGCATTTGTTCAGGAATAGATTTGCTCTTGGAACTACCAGATTTTGTTTTGTTTTGTTTGAGAGGGGACGACTAACTAAACCTTCTAACAGAGAGGTAGGAAGATGCCCCAAAATGAAACCAAAAGGCTTACTGGGACAACTCAATAGACCAGAAAGGAGTCTAAGTTAATCTCTCACGCTACCTTTTGCACCTAAGTGCCACTTCCACTTACATCTTAACCATCCTAAAAGCTACTGGAAAAACTACCTTTGGTCAGTAGGTCCAGAACTGTGCTCCTTATTCTGGAAAAGCAATAGAATGGTATCTCATCTCACCATCCTGCCTAGTAGTTGTGGCTTGTTAATGACAACCCATTACATTCACATCATACTGCAGCACTCTAAACATCTTACCAGCCCCAGGAACCCAAAAAGCATTTAGATGTAAAACTGCAGGCAATGAAAGACATTTTATTTTTTGGTTACACCATTGGGTGAGTTGCCCTGAAGCAGTACGTGTAGGGATGAAATTTTTAAATGGGGGGAAAAAGCATCAGTAGTTTCTGAAGGGCAAATGGTAGAGAGAATAGGTAGAGAGAAAGGAACATCTTTTATAATTTTGAGCTAAAAACTCTTTGAGTCTTTGATGTACATATCTCAAGGGTCTTAGTGACAGAAGAATGATATAGGAAAGTGTAAAAAGAAAGCTTCTAAAATATACAGCTTTGTTCTTGCCACGAAACAATGGCATATTCTGAAGAAATTAAGTTCATAAGAAAATTAAATTACTTTTTATTTAGAGAGAGCAAATTTCACACAGGAAATTTGAAATATTTTACTAACTTTAATCCAATACTGGTGAGATACTGGGGAGATAAGAATTTTATTTACAAAAAGATATATCTGACTTAAAATCATCATCTAATTTGGCCAAGATCAGACAACAAGAGCAAGACTAAAACAGACGTATTGCCAAAGCAAGACAGTGTAGCTAATTATGAACTGGCCTAGACTCTGTATTAGCCTCAATTCTTTATATTTCACCACCTAAGCCTAGCTCCAAAATAACAAAATCAGTTATTACTGCTAAGAAACATAAAGCTTTGTAGTTTGAAAAACCATCAAACCATATGGATCTGATGGTGAACAGATCTTAACGAACAACCTCATATTTATAAAGCACTTTCAGTGTATATAATGCTTTCCTATCCTTATCTGACAAGATCTTAAAACTTCTATTTAACTAGGAAGGGCAGATTCGGCTACCTTATACTCTAACTGTTCTCCTCATTTTTACCTGATTTGGTTCTCTCAATCTCATGTTCATTCAACATTCATTCAGCTCACAAATATTCGAATACCTACTATGTTTCAGAAATGAAGTGTTGGAGATACAGTGGAGAAGAATAAGAACTTGGTCCTCACCTGCAAAGAGCTTACAAATAATTTTAAAGTGTGATGACTGCTACAAAAAAGAACGGGGTGATGTGCCAACATGATAGAGAATCTAACCCTAGGATGGAAATCATGGAAGCCCACTCTAAGTAACAGACTCACATCTGAGGGATGAGTATGAGTTAGGGAGGCACAAATAGAGAATGGGTCTGGGGTGGGTACAGGAAACAGCAGATGTAAGAGTCCTCAACTGGGAAAGAGCATGGCACTTTCAAAAGAGAGAAGTATAGTAACCCAGAACATAACGGGCAAAAAGGACAGTGCTATGAGATTATTCTATACAGATAAGCAGTGAGTTAGTCAACATATATTTGAGAGTCTACTATGCACTAGGCACTGTTCTGAGCCTGTTTAGAGTAGGTAACAAGAGAGACATGATAACTTGTCTTTAAGGGCTTACATTTTAGGAAGTGTGGAGAGCAACAATAAACATATAAATACATAAATGTAATTTGAAGTACTCCAAGTACTATAAAAAAAATAAAATAGGGCTTTATAGTAAAGAGTGACCGGGAGGCTGGTTTAACTACTGTGGCCAGGGAAGGCCTTTCGGACAAGATCAAAATTGAGTTGAGGCTTTAATGGAAAGTGGAACAACCATGCAAAATCAAGGAGAAAAGCATTCCAAGCAGGAAAAAAAACCAAGCAAGCACAAATGCCCTGTAATGGGTGGTTTAATGGACAAAAAGTTCAGTGTGACTGGAGCACAGAGAATGAAGACAGATTAGAGGGAGATGAAGTCAGAGATAGGCAGAATCCAGATCATTTAAGGCCTGTAGGGCATTGTAAAGAGTTCAAATTTTATGCTAAGGGTTTTATAACGAAAAGTGAAATGATTTATGCTTTAAAAAGATGAACTAGGGTGCCTGGGTGGCTCAGTCAGTTGAGCGACTGCCTTCGGCTCAGGTCATGATCCCGGAGTCCCGGGATCGAGTCCCGCATCGGGCTCCCTGCTCGGCGGGGAGTCTGCTTCTCCGTCTGACCCTCCCCCCTCTCATGTGCTCTCTCTCTCTCATTCTCTCTGTCAAATAATAAATAAAATCTTTAAAAAAAAAAAAAAGATGAACTATACATGGGGCGCTTTGGTGGATCAGTTGGTTAAGCGTCCAACTCTTGATTTTGGCTCAGGTCATGATCTCAGGGTCATGAGATAGAGCCCTGCGTTGGGCTCCAAGCTCAGTGGGGAGTCTGCTGGAGACTCTCTCTTCCTCTCCCTCTGCCCTCCCCCACCCCCCGCCCATGCACTCTAAAATAAATAAATAAATCTTAAAAAAAAAAAAAAGAAAAGAGAAAAGAAAGATGAACTGTACAAGGATAAGAGTAGAAACAGGGAACCATTCAGGAAGATTTTGTAGTAATCCTGGGAAAAGATGCTGCTGATTTTGACTGGGGAGTCTCAGTGGTTAGTGACTAGTTGAATTTGGGGTATATATATATTTTTTAAGATTTTTTATTTATTCATTCGACAGAGAGACACAGCGAGAGAGGGAACACAAGTGGGGAAGCGGGAGAGGGAGAAGCAGGCTTCCCACAGAGCAGGGAGCCCGATGCGGGGCTCGATCCCAGGACCCTGGGATCATGACCTGAGCCGAAGGCAGACGCTTAACCGACTGAACCACTCAGGCGCCCCGAATTTGGGGTATATTTTAGACTGATGGCCTAGGTGTGGGAATCAAAGATGGCTCTATGTTTTTAGCCTTTGCTATTTTATTAGGTGGATAATGGTATATACCCTTTACTGAGATGAGGAAGGATTCTAGGGAAAGAGATTTGGGGAGAAAACTCCATTGTTCTGTTTTGGTTAAGTCTGAGAGGCCTATCAGACATCTCGGTGGATATGCCAAGAGTGTGCAAAGGATGGAAATCAGGATGGAAATATAAATTTAACACATCAGCGTTTAGATGGTATTTAAAGCTACTGAACAGACAAGATCATCTAAGAAGGTATAGCTAGAGAAGGGGTGAAGGCCTTACTTATAGTCCAGGTTATGACTTATGGAGTCTACCCTAAGAGCAATAGGAAGGCACTGAAGGGTATAATAAAGAAATGACCACATAGATGTGAGTTAAAGTAGACATATTTATGTATCTGGCTGTAATGTGGGAAATAGCCCCGGACAAGAGCAGATAAAAAAGGACCAGGACCAGCCTGTGGTTCAAGGTAGAAGCTGGTAAGTAGCCTGGTCTACAGTCACTGGTTTGGACGATGCCTAGGAAGTAGTCTAGTTATGACTGGGTGAATTGGTGGGGGGAGGCAGAGAGAACAAAGATGATTCCCAGTTGCTTGAGCAACTTACTGAAGAGAAAAAAAGTGCCACTTCCTGGAAAAGGCAGCCTTAGAAAGTAAATTTTTGAGGGGAGGAGGCGAAGTCCTTCCTGGGACATGCTCAATTTCCAGGTGCCCGGGAGATAGCCAGGGAGAGAGAGATTTTAGGTAGCCTGCTGGGGTACTGTGATAGGTTTGCGACCTGCGGATGTGCAAACGAAGGAACTAAAGTTCAGAAAAGCCAAGGATGTACAGCAAGGTGTGCCCGCTTGAATCTTTCCACTTCTCAGATGCCAAGATTCAAAACCCGGAGGCGCTGAACACAGAAGTCTCACTGAGGGCCATGACTCAAATCTCTACCTCCGAGGTTCACTCAGGCATTCGAAGGCAGAAACTCACTGAGATCACTAAGACATGATGTGACAAGAAATGTCTCAATGGGACAAGTCTTGCTTTTATGGCAACCGCGAAGCCGGGGTCAGAGGGAGGCTGCAGACCAGAGCGCACGCTTTCCTTCCGGGGGGGGGGGGTCCCCAAGGGGGGGGCGGGGCGGCCAGAGAAGCGGCTCCTGGCTCCGCGCCGCTCAGCCGGGGAGGCGGGTCTGCATCTGGCACCGCTCGCCGCCCATCCCGGCCCTCCTCGCACCCTCGCGGCCCGCAAGCGGCCACAGCCTGGCCGTCGGGGGCAGCTGCGGAGCGGTGGCGCCGGGGCTTAACTCTCCCTCGGAAAACCAAGGCAACGAAGCGCCGACCTCAGGGGAACACCAGGCCGCAGTGGGCCGTTACCTCAGGCCCAAGAACTTCGCGGGGGCCGGCCGGGCTCTTACACAGGGCTCTTCGCGCCTCACAAAAGTGGCCTCGGCCGAAGCTGCCACTAGAGTGCGCCCCGAAAGGGGCTGGCGTCGACGGCGCACGAAGCGCGGCCCGCGAACTCACTCCGCCTCGCGCCCGCCAGGCGTTCTGCGCGCGCGCAGCTGCCCTCCTCGCACCCCACCCCACTCCCCCACGGCCTGCCGGGCGTTCTGCATATGCGCAAACGCGCTTCCTGGCCTCGCCCAGTTGGCGCGCGCTCCGAGGCTTGGCCACGATGTGCGCGTGCGCGGCGCGGCTACACCGCCCACCGGTTGGGCGAAGCCGAGGCTGGGAGTGGCCGATGGCCCCACCCGTCGGAACACAGGATCCCGGCGACTTTTTGTCACTACGCGGCCTGTCCACCGATTGTTCATTTAGCGAACATTCCGTCCCTGCCGTGGTCCGGTCGGTAGCTGTCTACTGCGGAAATCCTACTACGTGTTGAACATCATGCAGGCACTTCCCGTACTCGCTCTCCTTTGATCCTGACCGCCGTGTTGTAAAGCGCTTATAAATATCCTAATTTTAAAGAGGCCTGGGAATGGGAGCGACTTGTGGAGGTGCAAGGACGCGAACAGGGGTCTCTGATTTAAAAGTCCAGCACCTTCCCTTCCACTTCCTGTTGATCAAATGCTGACCATGTTGTGAATTATTAAGCGATTTGGCCCCACATCACTGGAGAGGTAGGGGGACAGGGTGTGCTGCGTTCCTAATCATGGACCCGCCGAGATACCTCGCGTCCCAATGCGTATCCCTATAGTCCTCCTGCATTCTCCTGCCTTCCTCTTCACAGCTCTTGCTGTTCCCTCTGCTTGGAATGCCTCCTCCACCCCACCTAAAAACTCTACTCCACATGCCCGGATAGTAAGCTCTTCGAAGGCTGTCTTGTATATCTTTTTATACACAGGAAACTAAGCGCTTACTCTTGGGTAGCACACACAAAGACCTGGAAAAGCGAGGCCGGAAAAGAAAGAAAGAGGTGGACAGAGGGTGGCTGAAAGAGGAAAACAGATCTCAGGAGGTCACCTGCCCCATCTAAAGAAGGCATCTGCTATCCAGTGTCCCACTAAAGGAAGGCCTGTGGGAAGTGTGACCTGGTAATGCCAGGTCCGATTTTCATGGGAAATCTCCCAATTTAAAAATGTTTGGGCAACCGATTGAAAAACTTGAATATACTGTGGACTGAAACTAACACATTTGTGTGGGCACAGCTCTCTAGCCACCCATTTGTGACTCTGACCTTGCTTGGCACAGAGTAAAAGTTGACCAAGCTAGTCAGACTTGAATCCCAGCGTAGGGCGGCCTTCTGGCAGCTGTTATGGGCATATCCTTTGCACAATCCATGCTTGGGAACCGAAAGAAAGACCCTTCTTTGGGCAGGGGCAGGGATGGGGTCCATGCAAGGTAAAGGAATCAAGATTCTGGTGAGGCTGCAGAAACAGTACCTGTGCGTTGTAGGTAGTAATAGACAAGGTCATGAGTCTTAAATGGCCACCTGTGTGATGTACATGATTTCCTGTGGAGGATGGCCGCTGGTCGGGTGTGAAGAGCAGGGGAAATGATCACTGGACACAAATACTCTTTAGTTTCAACCAGCCCGCAGGGAAACAGGCAGAAACCCAGGGGATTCTAACCCAAAGTCTTATTACAACCCCAAATGACCAAACATCCCACTTCCTGTCATCTACAATTACGGGGTGTCAAGTGAAATAAAAGGAACACACAAACACTTTGAGTAAGATGGAACTGAAGCATCCTAGCAGACACAAACACACACACTGCTGATGAGGCATGAGAGCAGCACCTGGCGAACCGGATGTGGCTTCCCAGCCCACATGGTCCACTGTTATTTCCTTCCTGTTTGAGGAGGGCACCAAACGCATGTTGGGCGCTATCTTTTGTGATGAGGCCAGGCTGCTTCCACTGGGACTCTGACTGAGGGTCCATAATGGGATGCAGCTAAAGGGAGGAATTCTTACCTGAGATAACAGGAGACCCTTGGGCCAGAAAAGGGGCAGAGCCAACACCTGAGCAGGAATGTTAAGTGCCAAAATTCCAGGAAGGAACTTAGAGCAAGTGACATTATTGGAGGAGGGAGGCTGAGGTGAACATTTCAAGGAAGAGGGTGGATTCAGGAATTTGGACCCAGTCAGATAAAGGGATAACAAATATTTACTCAATCAACAGATACTTATTTGCATAACTATAAGCACTATTCTAGCCCTTTGGTGATGCTTAGGTGAAGAAGACAAAATTAACTGTCATTATGGAGATGACCCTGATCAAACTAGATGGGAGGGCTGTAGCTTGCTATCTATGAGCCAACCAGGGAGTCTGTATGACCCACTGACCTTGTCTAAAGAGATAGAGGTGACAGAGACCCTGGCCACTGCAGACAAGACAGTGGGAGGGGCACCACTTGTGGGCCTGAGGACTACCTTGTCCCTTGGGATTCTTTTTTACTTGAAACTGGTATTACATTTTTTTATTATTATTTAATTTTTAAAAAAGATTTTATTCATTCATTTGCGACAGAGAGAAAGAGACAGTGAGCATGAGCAGGGGGGAGAGACAGAGGTAGAGGGAGAAGCAGACTCCCTGCTGAGCCGGGGAGCCCCAGGGCTCAATCCCAAGACCCGGAGATCATGACCTGAGCCGAAGGCAGATACAACCATCTGAGCCACCCAGGCACCCCAAAACTGGTATTACATTTTTTTTAATTACATGTAGTACAATTCACTGTTTTTGGTGTATAAGTCTATGATTTTTTAACATATGCATAGATTCAAGGATAGATCAGAATAGAGAACAGTTTTGTCACTCCAAAAAATTACTTCAGGTTACCCTTTTGTAGTCAAACCCTCCTCCCCACCTCAAGCACTGGCAACCTGTTCTCCACTCCTAGTTTGGCCTTTTCCAGTGTGTCGTGTCAGTGGATTCACACAGTATGTACCCTTTTGGAATTGGATTATTTCTCTGAGTGATACATTTAGATTTATCCATGTTGTTGTATATATCCATAGCTCATTCCTTTTTATTGCCGAGAACTATCCTATTGTATGGATATTCCACCACTTTTTTATTATTTGCCTATGGATGGACATTTGCGTTGTTTTCCATTTTTGGTGATTTTTTTTTTTTTTTTTATATTTTATTTCTTGGGGCGCCTGGGTGGCTCAGTCGTTAAGCGTCTGCCTTCGGCTCAGGTCATGATCCCGGGGCCCTGGGATCGAGCCCCGCATTGGACTCCCTGCTCGGTGGGAGGCCTGCTTCTCCCTCTCCCACTCCTCCTGCTTGTGTTCCCTCTCTCGCTGTCTCTCTCTGTGTCAAATAAATAAAATCTTAAAAAAAAAAAAGATTTTATTTCTTTATTTGTCAGAGAGAGAAAGAGAGCACAAGCAGCGGGAGCAGCAGGCAGAGGGAGAAGCAGGCTCCCCGCTGAGCAGGGAGCCTGATGCAGGACTCCATCCCAGGACCCTGGGATCGTGACCTGAGCCGAAGGCAGATGCCCAACCGACTGAGCCACGCAGGTGCCCCCATTTTTGACAATTTTGAATAGAGCTTCTATAAGGATCGACATCCCAGTTGTTGTATGAACTTAAGTCTTCATATTTCTCAAGCAGATACCTAGAATGGGGATCGCTGGTTTGTATGGCAAGTGTCTGTTTGACTTTATAAGAAACTATCAACTGTTTTCCAGAGTGGCTGTATCGGTTTGCGTTCTTAGCCATAGAGTATGAGAGTTTGGGTTGCTGTACATCCTTGTCGGCAATTGGTATTTTCAGTTTTAATTGGGGGGGGGGCATTCCAATAGATGTTAACGATATCTAGTTGTAGATCTAATTAGCCTTTCCCTCATGACTAATGATGTTGAGCGTCCTTTCATGTGCTCTTGAGATTCTTGAGAATTAATAAACCTGTACCCCAACTCAGAAACCAACCCACAGTGCTGAAGAGACTTCTGTGGATTCACGTTTGGCCTGACAGACTGGAACATTTTAGCGGCAATGCTCAGCAGATGACAATTGGATTCAAAGCACATATGCTAGATCTGTCAAGCCAGCAAGCAGGAGGCAAGAGGCTCCTGGCTACTGAGCACTGTCTCCTCTGTTCCAGGCTTTAGGGAGAGAAAAACATTTTCTGCCTTTGCCTTTGGACGTCCTCCTTGTCAGACTCTACATCGTTCCTGCCATGGTTTTCCCCCCGGACCTCCTTTTTAACATTCTCCCTTTCTTCTTTCCGTTGCTAAATAACTGTTTATTGAAAGCACACTGCATGCCAGACACTGCGCTAGGCTCTAGCGTCATAAAGTTGAAGAAGATGCCTACTCACAGTAGGTTCTCATTCTAACGGGGGGATTAGCATAAAGCAGCTTTTAATTTTTTTTTAAGATTTTATTTATTTATTTGTGAGAGAGAGCGCACACAAGCAGGGTAAGAAGCAGGCTCCCTGCTGAGCAAGGAGCCCTATGTGGGCCTTGATCTGAGGACCCTGGGATCATGACCTGAGCCAAAGGCAGACAGACACTTAACTGACTGAGCCACCCAGGCATCCCCCTAAAGGGTGACTCTTAACCAGCCAGGAGTCAGGAGGGCTTCCTGGAAAAGGAAACACCTAAAAGGAGTCCTGAAGGATGGGTGGCTACTGGGCTAAGAGACACAAAGAGGGCATTCCAGGCAGAAGGGACAGCCTGAACAAAGGCCTGGCAATAAGAGATAGCATGCTGTGTGTGCACTTCTGTGAGAAGCTCAGTTTTACTCAGATCTAGGGATGGAGGTGTGGAGTGGCAGGAGATGGAGTTAATGAAGGAGATAGGAGGTGGATCATGGAGAAGCTTGCGCTGAGGCACTTGAATTCATCCCCAAAGCTATAAGGTGCTTTTAAAAGCTAGGTTTTGGGGGCACCTGGGTGGCTCAGATGGTTAAGCATCTGCCTTAGGCTCAGGTCATAGTCTCAGGGTCCTGCTCAGTGGGGAGCCTGCTTTTCCCTCTTCCTCTGCCCCTCTCCTCCCCTCCTGTCCCCTCCGCTCCTGCTCTCTCTCTCTCTCTCTCTCAAATGAATAAATAAAATCTTTAAAATAAATCAATAAATAAAAGCTAGGTTTTGGTGGGGCACCTGGGTGGCTCAGGTGGTTATGCGTCCAACTCTTGATTTCCGCTCA